ACATTTTTTTTCTGTTCTCCGTTATCCGTTCTCCGTTTCTCAATAGACCTGGCATTAATTGGCTGTATCTTTTGAACGGTTTGCGGCACAACCTTCAAACTCGGCTCCTTAAGCCGGGCACGAGGTACACAAACCAGTAAAAAATGGATCTGATCAACCAAAGATTTTCATCTGTTTTTTGGATTTCGCTATGAAACACGATAACTATCCGAAATTTGAAGCCATCTACTTGAAATTTGACGCATATATAGAGTTGAGCTCCGTAACGAAGCCTATTGAAGCTGGGGGCGCTGGGCGGGTTGACAAGTAATTTTAAAAAATTAAAAACCGCACTTGCAGGGTATCGAGAAAAAATATCATTTCTCTAAGACGGTATACACAATCGAAGAAATTCTTTAACCAAGATCCGAATCAAAAACGTTTATTGCAGATGATTTTTTAAAAATGTACAGGGTCCGTCGGTATTTTGCAAAAAACTGAAAATTGGTCTCCCTTTGTAATGATAATTGACCATATCAAGATGGCCGTGACTCCGTTGCCAGTTTTTTTTACATGGCCATATAGCTCGTATGGACAGCTAAAACTTTTGTATTTAAAGTTTTCACATACTGTACAGGGTGATCTGGATATTCCGTACTATATTCGAAAACGTCATAAGTGACCCAAATATGTAGCTATCCATTTTAAATTTGGCAAGGAAGTAAAAGTATAAATATTTTTTAAAAATTTTGAAAAATTTTCTTTGAATATTTTGGCTTCCAGGAAAACATGATTTTCTCAAAAACTATTCGACCGACCAGAAAAACTTTACAAAAAGGAAATGCGGGAGATCGAGGGATATGACTTTTATTTCAGACATTTTTTCGATTGTATACAGGGTTTCTCAATTAAGGACAAAAATCTAAAAGATATGGCCATTTGGTTTAAACAGTGTAATAAGCCACATCGTGGGCTACAATTTTTGTATTTACGGTTTTCGTCTATCGCATACGCTGTTCGAGATATTTGAAAAAATCCAAATGAAAATCACCATTTCTCGCCCTCAATCGAGACGCGATGACGTCATTGATTATTACGGAGTACTGCATGGTTTCAGAAAATAAGTATTTTCTTGAGAACCACTCACTCTATTGGAAAAAATCATATAGCAGGAAACGTGGGAGATCCAGGGCTATAACCTCTATGTCGAACATTGTTTGAATTATATACATGGGGCATCGTTTGTGGGCAAAAAAATCTAAAACATCCTAAAACTTTCCGCTTTTGTCCAATGTAAATTATTGGGCATAAATGAAAAATTGCTAAAGATGCGATAATTCGATTTGAACAGGATCGTAAACCGTGTCGAGAGAGATTTCCAGAAAAGCAACGCGTAATTTGTTTGCCGGTCAATTTACAATCCGCAAATAAAAATTAATAATAAACTAAAACCGGAACTGAATTATTATTAACTTCAAGAACTGTAGACGATTGTTTTCGTTCATCGAGTGTCCTCGATTTCTAGCTGTAGTACGCGTTCAAATGTGGCTCCGTTTGAATTTTCAACCTTGGAAACCGTGGAGATGACCAGCGATATGTTATTTTTTAGATAAATTAAGTACAATCGATAATTTATCGATTACAGATCGATTAAACTCATTTTTTGCGGTTATGCCAAGTGTTAGCTGGGTCGAAAGAAATTGATAATGGTCGAAAATTTGAATGGGCATGGTGATTTTTTTTCAAAAATGTAGGTTTTTAATTTTTAATTATACTTGGGGTGGTTTGGTTGCAATTGTTTTTTTTTGTATACCTCCATAAAAATAGTTCCTTACTGCGAACGTTGAGACCTAAATTTGGTTTTTTGTTTTTGTTGAATAGAGCCAGGATGGTCGTATTAAGTCCAAATTTCAATTTCTTCAGATTATGGGATAACAGGGTAATTTTTCCAAAAATTGTTAGAGGGAGGTTTTTAAGGTGGAGGAATTTGATATTATTTTTTGAAGGTATCGATAAAAATGAAACATTATTCAGAAATTAACAAATTGATATTGAATAACAGTGTTATATTCACCGCTACACCGATAACAACACACTTATTGAACGAGTAGACAGAGTAAGCTTGGATTTAGCTCTTTAATTGAATCGTCAAAAAAGGAAACTTATGCTAATAGATAGCACCCACAGCATTGAATAGTCGAAAGGAATTAGTCTAACTCTTTAAAACCGTGTCTGGATTAGGTGAAGCGGTTTGCAGGAAAGTCGCTCCAGGACAGTATTAGAAGCACGCCAAATAGAGAAGAATGCGGATACCTAGCTAACAACACGGCATGAGGCAAATATAAGATCACGATACTTTAAACGTAAAGAAAATATCTACAACGTTCGTATTTATAATTTTCTCATAACTCTATTTCACCTCACACTCTATAAAGAAATGTAACCTAATAGTTTTTTCAATATTTTAATTTTTCAAAAAAATCTTTTTTTCACACAAAAAATTACAACAGCTCAAGCGGTATTAGCGTTACCCCACAGGGTGTTGAAAATAAACGAATATATTTGGCATCCTTTTAAACTGAAAAATCTCGATTTTATTAAGTGGCATACCAAATATTATTTTTTCGATAAAGTAAGTACAATCGATAATTTGTCGATTATTGATCGATTAACCTAATTTTTATATATTTCTCGCGTTCTGGAAGTGTTAAAATATTGTCTATTAAAAAGATAAACTATATTCCACTAACATCCGCTACATTTGAAGCCGCCGAGGAAGTTTTATAGTAGTAGTAGCGTCCTAAAGGAATAGGTAACCAGTACGTCGGGTGGTACCAATGCTTTGGCCTCGGAAAAGAAAGTGTTCGTGGATGACATCGCCGAAGGTATTCCCCGTTCGAAAGTGATCGCGCTCTTTGCGTATGGAAAGTAGGTCGTACGTCTTCAAAGAAATTTAAATGTTTAAAACGCCGGTAACGTACCAGCAGCGATAGTTTGGCCGTAAACTAGCAAGCATAGATGGTGCTTTGGGCAATCCGAAAGTCTCTAGCAAATACAATAATAACAGTAATAATAATAATAATAACAATAACTATTTGATTATATAAGGAAACTAAATAGAAGTGATGTTCCACGGTAATTAGAAATTAAATGGGTATCGTTCTTCCTGTGTATAGGCCCAACAATGGAGTGTTTTAAGGCTGAGGGAAATACACCTTCTAAAAAAGACAGATTAGGCAAAAAAGTAAGCGGTTGAAGTATAAAATCTCTAACACGTTTTATTAAAGGGTATTTCATCGTATCCATCTGAATCTTTTTTTGTAACTGACGAAATAATACATCGAAGTTCAACACCCGTGAAAGGTGTTAAGAATAGACTTCGACTTGAAGATTATTTATTAGTTGTTTGTGTTGTTTTTATATTATTTATTATTTCTCTAACATAATCCACAAAGAAGTCGTTACATTTTTCAGAGGTCGCGTGTAAATCGACATACTCGCTACCTTCATCATCAATGAAACAATCTGGAAACTTTCTATGTTTAGATAGGTTACTTTCATTTTGAGATTTGTTAACAGAGGTTGTAAGAAGTAAGTAGTACCGTACGCTTACCAGTCATACATAAACAATTTAAGCAACAGATGAGACAATGTTCGGAGTGATTAAATTTTTATCATAAACATTGGAAAAGTTAAAATCTAAAAAATCCACAGCATATAAAGCAAAGGAATCGAGGGCACCAGATGAAAACTTTCTTAAGACAAAAGTTTACCTTAATACCTTTAATACCTTAATGGACAAAATAACGGACAATCAAATTATGCTTTTGGTTAACATTCCAAAACAAATAATCGAAGGTCATTCGTAATTAACGTAGGATTCTATTTACTTGCCCACGGTTTATCCTGGAATGTATCTAATCGACCAGTGAAATGGCAGTTTCGTGATTTGTTACTTGTATAATTTATTTAACTTTCCTGCAAAATTTAAGATTTTGGTTAGTCACAAACCCGCAACTTTCATTGAAATTATTTTCAACTATTTTTTACATTGTTGTGGTAGTTAATTACTGGCGGACATTTATTTTCGCCATGGTTGTTTTTACTTTCAGTATCAGCAAATGAAAAAAGTTTTCCGAATGTTTTAGATATAGAGCTCTTCAAAGTATACGTCTATATGCGTCTGTCAAAAGAAAATCCAAATTTGACCTTGAGGTGACCCTGGAGTTCCGTATAATGGCAGCGAAATTTACAAACAATCCTTCATCTTTTGGGAACACTTTGCATATTAAAAAAGGGAATTACAACCGATTTTACTATAACATAGGAATATTCTTCAGTAACTTGCATTTATCTCGTTCGTTTTTATATGCAGATCGTTGGAAACAAAAATTTCAGATTTGTAGGTTGAAAATGTTGACATCTGACAAGCACTTTACGTATAGTTGACTACTCTTTTGATTGGTGCTCTGTCTAAATGAAAAGGACACCCCGAATCAATATCCTAAAATTTTCAATTTTTACTTTTAATAAAACTTCTGGATTCCTCCTGCGTCAGTTTTTGTTGACTCGAACTAGCTAACGTTTCGCCAATCATCCTGTTGGCTTCTTCAGAGTTTGACTGTGGAAGTTTTTTGGAAAATTTTCAATTCTTGTTGTTGTGGTATTTAATGTTTCAATCTGATTTCGAAGATAAGCTGATATAAATAATAAAATCTTTTGTATGAGATAAAATTTTGTAGCATTGAATTCTCTGTACCTTTTAACTACAATATTTGGTGATTCCTGAGCTTTTTCACTCAGTTGCGCAATTGAGTTTTGAAATGTTACACGATTTCAGAGCTTTGAACAGTAATTGATGAATTGTTCCAATCGTATAACTCTACATACTTTCTAACTAATTTGAACTCATATATATTAGGCTATAATGGAAGATAAGTGCCTTCGCCGCCGCCACTGTCTAACTTCAAAAACCGCATCCGCAAACGTCACGCGCGAACCTAACCTATAAAAATACCAACCTCGTCCGACGACTTGGACGATCGCGATTACATGCCACAGATCCGCAAACATTGTCACTCGAAAATTGCACTTAAATCAAGTCCTACGGGAAACCGTCGCATCGTCTCGTCGCCTGACCCACCGTCGAAGTCTCCAACGTTGTCGATCGCACCGAACCACTGTTCCACGTTAACGTTTCGCATGTTTCGCCGTGGGACGTCAAAATCCGGCCGCCATAACGTCAAAGCTTCGAGGCAACTATTCACGGAACGCGTCGAGTTGGCCGCGGCCGAGGTTCGCGGTGACAGGTAGATTTTAGAAAGTATATCGGCCGGCGAGCAGAGTCGCCGTCCGTAGACGGGTTAACGGTGCATCTAATATGGCCGCCGACCGCGAGGAAATGATTTTAGAATATACGTTAGGGATATCCTCCGAATGAATACCTTGCGGGTTTACGGTGCACGATATACCACAGATATCCTCTAAATAGATGGCCTGAGGATATCCCCTTGCACCATAATGAGAATATTAGAATAGAAACCTAAAAAGTTAAATTTTGAACAACTGAGAAGTAAAATACTTAGTTTTTTTAAATTTCTGGTGTGTTGGGAGGCATTTTATTGGCAACGTTTTTGTACACATCTACATTAACGTCAGTGTTGACAAGTCCTAAAAAAAAAAACGAAATCAAACAGTGAAAATCTACTTGTTTTTATTATTTTTGGACACAAACGAGACAAGAAACGCTTTTTGATCAAAATACCCATTTGACAACACTGTTCGACTGCAACCAATGACGCAACTACTCGCGGTCGTGCCGTGCCGGACTCGGTCGGGTCTCGTCGGCTTCTCCTCCGTCTCGTCGTCCGCCATCTTTTCAGCCTTGTTTTTGTTGGCGGTGCAAGGTATACAGCGACTTAGCGCTTATTTTGAATATTTTATGTGGCGGGCTTACTGTATTCAGTGCTTTTATTGCAGTTATTTTTTTGTGGTATTATTATTACTGAAGAACAAATAATTCAATTCAAGGAAAGCTTCATGGTAATATACAACATAAGATTTGATAAATTCTAAGCTGAACGAACCATTGTTGTGTAGTCTATCAAAACATTATGCCTGGTTTTGTAATTATTTTTGCTAGGTCAATGAGGTAGCACGATCAGGCGGCGGCGGCGGATTTCAAATGAACTTGCAATGAAATTTACTTGGTCGGGCATCAGAAATTTTCAAAAAATTAAAATTCGCCAAATTAATATATGGTAAGTAGGTATTATGATTTTTAAAAATAAATAGGACGTAAATGTAATATAAGTAAAGTAGCTTAATTGATATTGCTGGATGAAATACATAAATGTATACCTACATCATCGCGGAGTATTATCAGCGTCCAATCAAGACTTTGCTTCAAAGGCGGATGTAGGGATTTTTGAAATCTGTTTTTTAAACATATGAGATACCAGTCTGGTTTTTTTTTATTTTTTTATAAAGTAACAGATATATAAAACCTGTCTTTCTCAAAATTAAAGTATTTTCAAATACGGATAAAAAGGCAGACACACACAAACCTGAAAAAACTGTAAATAACTTGAAAAATAGAAGTACAAGTGACTCTGTCCTAAATATTAAGCTCGTCAAGGATTTATTTTGTGTGATAGGTTATCCGATGTTATATTTGGTGGATGCGCCTTTAAGTGCCGGAAAATCCCTGATAAACTAAAAACAAGCATCAAAGTGCCCATACTTAAAGTGTCAGAACCGAAAACACTTGCTGCCCGTAGTGGATAAAATCCTGGAAACGATCGTGTGTGGGCAGTTGAGAGACTACCTGGAGCGGAACTGCCTACTCTACTAATTCTGAGTGTTTTTGTAGATTTAAAACGTGCATTTGAGACTATTGACAGGGACATTCTTATTACAAAATTAGCTTTATATGGCATTAAAGAGTCTGCACTAGAATGGACAAAGAACTTTTTATCTGATAGATCTCACCAGACTAAAATTAATAATAATGTTTCTAGTCACAGGGATAGCAGATGGGGGGTACCGCAGGGAAGCGTGTTGGGCCCGCTTTTATTTATTATTTATATAAATGATATGCATCAGGTTTTAAAAAACTCCTTTGTTAACTTATTTGCTGATGACACGCTTATTTCAGTCTCTGGAAACGATGGCAAAGAAATAGCTACCAAACTGAACACCGAAATGCAGTATTTCTACGAATGGCTGTGTCAAAATAAACTGAAATTATATAGCTAAAAAACCAAGTGCATGGTTATCGGTTCTAAGGTTAACTGTCAAAAAGTAATAATATAAAATAATAATAAAAAATAAAAAAATTGAGTTTGTTTCCGAAATCAAATATTTAGGCGTGATCTTAGATCCACAATTATGCTTTAGTAATCATGTTGAATATCTATGCAAAAAAATTTGTAAGAAAATAGGGTTTTTTTACCGTGTATCGCTATTTTTATCGCGGTGGACTAGGATATTAGTGTACAATTTTGCCTCATTTTTCACATGTTTGTTCATTGCTTATATCTTGTACAAAAGAAGATTTACATAAGTTACAGTAAAAACAAAATAGGGTTATGCGAATCATCCTGAACTGTGATAGATATACTCTTATAAAGAGTATGTTAGACCAGCTAAATTGGCTAAATGTCGGGCAGTTCATTAGAAGAGCAAGTTTAATGTTGGTTTATGGAATTGCGCACGATCACCAACCAGGCTATCTTAAATAATGGTTTGAAAAAAGGTCAAACTTTTATCAATATAACATACGTTCCAATCAGCACTTCAATGTTTCTATGGTAAACACAACAAATTTACAGAAAACTCTATTCTACGATGGTGTTTGTAATTTTAATGAACTGCCGGATAATATTAAGGGCGCCCCTTGCCCAAGAGTGTTCAAGAAGAGACTTACGGGGTATTTACGAAGTTTATAGTTTTGTTTATGTAAATTTTACTTGCTTATGTAAATAGCCAAGTGCTAAATAAATAAATAAATAAAAAATAAAAATCAAAAGAATGTGAGAATTCAATAGTTGCTGGGGTGAAAAGAGCTACTTTCATCAAAGAATGACAGGAAACCTGTCAAATATTAGTTATTTTTTTAGAGTTTACTTCAAGATATAGTATCTTACTCTATTTTTAAGAAACTTTGGGTTAAGTTGACCTATATTTTTGCTATATTATATGCCTACAATTTTTTCATATCTACAATAGAAACAAATCATGTGTCCATCAGTCCATCACTTTTACCCTCAAAAGCAAAATTAAAGATTAAATATTAATTGGAAAAAACTACCGAACGAAGCCTATTGAAACTGGGGGGCGGATGGGGGGTCGGGAAGTATTTTTAAAAATTTAAAAACCGCATTTGTCGCGAAACAATTCATTTCTCCAAAACGGTTCACGCGACTAAAACAATTTTTGAAAGAAAAGACGCAGAAGATTCGGCTCCATAAAATTTATTTTCGACTATTTTTCAAAAATGTACCGGGTGCACCGCATAATCGAAAAAACTGAAAAATTGGTTCTCCTATTAGTGAAAAGGACTGTGTTTAGAATTTGAGATTAATTTACATGGTGATATAGCTAAACAGCTGAAACTTTTGTATCTAAGGTTTTCACCACATACAGGGTGTTCAAGATATTAAGTGCTAACAGGTGCCTTAAATTTCCAACTATCGACTTCATATTTGGCAGACATGTAGAAGCCCACACCCTTGTTTCAAATGTTGAAATAGGTCTGAATCAAGTCCAGCGAAGTATTTTTTCTTAATGAAAAAAAATTTTTGGGGACATTTTCGCTTCCAGAAAGAAATTGTTTTCCCGAAAACTCAATTGGAAAAATTGATGCACCAGGAAACGCGCTGAAACCTCTATTTTCAATATTTTTTGAATGATATTCAGGGTGTGTCGATTATGGGTTAAAGAAACAAAAAGATCGTGAAAATTGTCGTTTTTGTGGGCAGCCGTAAATGAAAAACTGTTAAACGTGGGATAATTTGGTTTAAACAGTATCGTAAACTGTATCGACAGAGGGTTTGATTTTTCCTTGGATGATTTTTCCTATAATCAGCATCGAAAAAAAAAACTTGTTGCTACGCTGGTATAAATATTTTATATCTCGGTAACGGTAGGTCCTAGGGGACCACCATTGGTACAGAAAATGATCACCGTGGAAAAAAAAAATACTTTTTTTGTCTGTCCGTTCTCCGTTCTCGTCTTTTGGATTTTCCTGAATAACTTTTGAACCGTTGGAGCTACAAAATTAATATTTGCCTCCTTTTTAACTTACCAGGAGACACATAAGCTTGTAAAAAATGGCCTCGATCCGACGCCGGCATCCATCTTTTTTTCGCGATTGTCGTCTGTTTTTTGAACATTGCTATGAAACACGATAAGTGCCCGAAATTTGAAGCAATCGCCTTCATATTTGGCACATATATGCAGCTTTGCCCCACGACATAATTTATTGAAAATGGGGGGCTGGGGGGAGTTAGGAAGTATTCTAAAAATATAAAAAATCGCGTGTGCACAATGGTCTACAAAAAACGTCATTTTTCAATACGAGAGCAAAAACATTCCTTGAACCAGAAGATCTAGGGCTAAATCCCCAATTTCCCGCCATTTCTGAATTATGTACAGGGTGTGTCGATTATGGGCAAAAATTGAAAATTGCCGTTCTCGTTTATAAATTATTTGCCGTAAATGGAAAACTATAAAACGCGGAGTAATTTGGATTGAACAGTATCCAAAATTGTGTGGAAAAAGAGATATTTAAAAAATATTAATTGGAAATCATTATTACAAATTTTTATATGTATCAAAGTGACTTGCATCTACAGTGCGCCCGAAAACACTATTTCTGAACTAGATATAGGGAGTTTTTCAATTTTCTGCCCGATTGAACATGGGCCGTAACTTTTTTATTTATGAAAATATTGGATGTGGATAAAAATATTATTGGCGCATATTTTGCGCCAATAATGCGAATGCCGTGGCGTACTCAGATGTTCTGCCTTTTTTCATTTTCTCGTAAATGAATACAACTTTCTTATTGTCTCTGTCGAGCCCTTTCCGGCCATATGGATGTGTTGAAAAAATGCGGGAATATTAAAATTTGTTTTTCTTTTTTAATATGTATGTTCAAAAAGACGTCACATAGAAACCTTTAAAATAATTTATGAAACTGAAAAAAGATAAGGCCAATTTAAAATAATTTCAGTGAAAAAGACGCAACATAAGAACCATTCAATATTTT